GCTCCAGCCTGGCCTCTCGAAGCCAGGCCTTAGCCAGCAGCCTGGGTGTCGTCTGGAGGCAGTTGGAAATGCCAGGCCTCAGCCATTCGCAGCCTCCTTCATGAACCCCGCTTGCTGGCAGGACCCCAGATACTGTGTGTGCTCTTGCTGTTCTTGTGCGCGTAGCGTCCCTAGTAAGAACCCCCGAGGCTCACTACTTCTGAGAAGCCTGAGAAGGCTTCTGCTCTTGGGCAGATTTCAAACACGTTTCTAGGTGACCCCGCCTGCTCGCTCCAAGGACCACATTCTGAGCAATACCTTGCACAGGGGGCTGCTTGGCCACAGCTCATCCCCCAGACAGGAGGCGAGGCTCCAGGAGGGCTTTCTCTCGGGGCGGAGAGGGCCTGCCTGGAGGAACGCCACACGCCACCCAGCCAGCAGGCGGCCTGCCCCGTCTGATGACACTGTCGTGGAGAACTGGCATGAAGAGCCCATGCTTGCCCTTCGCAGCCTCCAGGCAGAAGTAGCATGCACACTTCCTCTTCCTGATGCCTTGACTAGAACTGTCCACGTGGCCCAGCCTTGTGGCAAGGGAAGCCTCAACTGCCCTCATCCTTCATCCCCACCCTTGTCAGGCCCGTGCTCACCCACCTCTTCTGAGACCTTCTTGTTGGGGACTTGGCAGAGTTCAGTCAAGTCAGGGGAACTGATGCTAACCAAAATCTCTAACAACAAAAAGCCAGTTCTGTGGGTTCTGATGTGAAGAAATAGGAGCTAGACAGGAGGGGAGGCTGGCGAGGCGGGTGGGCAGGGACYGAGGGCAGAACTACAGGAGCAGGGTCAGGGAGCCTTGGCCTCCTGTCCCCTGGGAGGCAGGGACAATTGTGGTGTGAGGGTGACCATATGTCTGCTGGATGGCGAGCACCTGCGCATCGTGTGCTGGTCCTCACGCTGGCCCCAGCCTCGCCACTTTCTTGGAGGGGGAGCCACCACTAAATGAGAGGACATTGCACATCCACATGGCCTTCTGAAGAGGCAGGACCAGGGTCCATGCCCCAAGCCCACACCCTTTCTCCCAGCGCTTGCTGCTGAGAAAGGACTGGAAAGAGCCCTCRGGATCTTCTGGTCACCCTGATAGGAAAGACGCAGCCCAGGCTGTGCAGTGGCAACAGAGGGGAGAGGACGCAGGAGGAACAAGATGTGTACCTGGGGGCTCTGAGGCTGCTGAGAGTGGTGGTGGGAAGAGGCCCCAGGGACAGCCTTGGCTCTGGTCATTTAGCAAGGCCACGGGGAGCAGGTCTGTAGAGTGCTTGAGATGGCCCTGCGATGAGCAACAAGCCTGGCCTGGGGACGGCACCTAGAGGTGATCAAAACTAGGTGCATCTCATGGATGGCTTGGACAGCCCAAGTTCAGCTGGAAAGGTCAAGGTAAGAGGTGAGCTGAGGAAAGGAAAAGGAAGTGGACACAGGTCTATACCCCAGGGAAGATGCACTCAAGTGGAACTTGGGAAACCAGGCGGGAGGCACAGGGACAGCAGGGCTGGGTAGGGCTGGGTTAGGGCATCTTGGGGCCATGYTCTTGTTGGCATTTGAGTCGAGGCCCCGGATTCCAAAGACCATAGGCCAAGTGGCCCCGTGCTGAAAGAAACAGGCAGAAGTGAGACCCTGGGGGCATTGGATGAAGGTAGGGGGCTCCATCCAGAGACCACCCCAATCCCGCTGAGGGTGGACGCCTGCACAGGGTAGGGCAGAGTGAGGCCAGGCCAGGGCTGGACTTGTGTGGAGCACCTCACGTGGCCACACTGACCTGTGAGACTGCTCCAGATCCCAGACCTTCAGAGAAGCAGGGGTGTGGGGGCCAGTTAAGTGAAGCTCGCAGATTCTAAATGTTGATCATTTGTGTTAAAACTGTGAAAAGAAAGAAGCCCAGCTGAGCAAAGCTTCCTGCCTTCGCCGTGCCTCTGGGTCATCAGCTCCAGCTGCAGGTATAGCAAACCCTGTGCCCTCCCTGGGCCACCCAGGGTTGGTGCAAGTGGACAGTGCCCTGGGTGGGAAAGGAGCCTTGCCCAGAGCACCCCAGCCTAGCTCGCTGCACACTAGAGCAGGCTGCAGCCAGGGCCTTGGAAAACCCCTGGGGAGGCCAGGAGAGAGCTTCCAGGAACCCTGTTCCTTTCTGTGACAGCACACGCAGGTACAGGGAACATCCGTGGACCTCACAGGGCACTTCGTGGGCTTTCTTAGCCAGGGAGCTGGATGGGCAAGAACGAAGCCCAGGTTCAAGCCCACGGGCCTTGTATGCAGAGCTTCATGCAGCTCTTCCCCTCACTCGACTGCCACCACCAGTCATTTTGCAAGGTTATCATTGCGACTGTTAAAAAAAAAAAAGAAAAAGAAAAAAAGCATTGCTCATTTTAGAAAGCTGTCTGTCAAAATGCTTAAAATAAAGCAGGCTTGGCCCTTGGGGGAGAAGCTCCACCCAGCTGGAAAGTGAGAATTCCCCAACAGCACGGGACACGAGCTGTGGCTGCCTTTGCAGGAAAGCCAGGCCCCACGTTTATGGCAGTGGGCATTTTTTTCTCAACACATGTGTATTGAGCACCTGCTGTTTGCCTGGTGATATTCCAGGCCTGATAGTCACAGCAGGAACCAKATGATTCCTGCTCACAGAGCTGATCGCGTATCGGGGCTCACCAGCTACCAGGCTGCCCTGGAAAGTCTGGTGGGAAAGAGGCAGGTGCAGGTCAGTTGGCCGGAGAGCCAGTGGGGCTGTTGGCACACCTGGGCAGGAGGAGCCCCTCCCATGCCACTCTCCTCCCAGCCTCCTGGGCCTACTGGAGGGTGTCACTTGCACACACATTTTATCCTGGGGAAGCTGAGGTTGTGTTCACATGAGGCTGAAGACTGGGCCCTGGAAAGCCCAGCTGTGGAGGCTGTCCCCATACCTAGTGGTGAAGCCTCTCTGGCGGGTGTGGGGACCAGTGTCAGGCTCACACACAGCCCACTGAGTGGGGTCAGCACAGTGTTCCTGGCGCCCCCTGCTGGTGTGCGCGACTACTGCTCAGGCCACTTGGCTCCTTACTCAGTTGGTAACGAACACCTTGGACCTGTGTTTATTTTTGTTCTCAAATTCAAAGATTTTTGTCTATAGAGTTTTTTGTTTCCTTGTGTTTTGTTTTGTTTTGTTTTGTTTTAACCACAACATTTGTAATGCCAAGAATCCCTAACGAGGACAATCAAATAAACCATTAGTTTGAACACAACTATCAAATTAGTAGAATCTATTAATTTGCTGATGGATAGCAGGCATTAGCAATTCATGTTGTCATCACATTTCAGACCTGCAGAGAATCGCAGACCAGACCCTTTGTCTTTTGGAAAGGACTGAGTGGCAGAAAGGATGAATAGCTAAGTCAAGGTCAGGAAGCAGTACCCTGTCCACTGGTCACGAAACTGCTGTGGCAGTTTCATGGCCCATGGAGTGGAGATGTGGGTGTGGCCCACGAAGTACTGGAGACACCTGGGAAGGTAGCCACCATGAGACCTGAGGAAGGGTCCTCAGAAATCAGCAGTTTCCTGACCACCAGGCCCACGTGGCTACAAGTTAGGAGACAGAGAAAATCTAAGGGAGCAAGAGGAGACCCTGCGTGCTGCTGGGAGAGTGGTCCCAGCATGGCCGCCAGGCTCCTTGCCTGCATCCTGGTGTCGGGAGCAGGGAGGCCTGTCCGCCCTCTGGTCTGCCCTGCCTTCTCCCCGTTGGCCTCAGGCCACTGCCTTCCCACCCCTAGCGCTCCAGCCTGTCCGGGTTTTCTGTGTAGGGCCGTTCCGCACTCCGCTTCCCTCCGGGGCTGTCCTTTCTGCCTACACACACCTCCTCCTCTCTCTGCCCCCAACTCTGCTAACTAATTTTCCTACTCAAGATTTTATTTCAGATGTCCTTTTCTCTGAGAGACATCCAAAAGCAGGGCTGGTGCCTGTAAAAGGAGGCGTCCATCCCGCTGGCCATCTCTGACTGCTGACTCCAGCCACTGTCCTTCATTTTCAGGTGACAGACCATGCCACCACTGCCCTGCTCCACTACCAGCTGCCCCAGATGCCAGACGTTGTGGTCAGGTCCTTCATGGTAAGTGGCTTCAGGAGCCTTGGAGTGTGCACACACAGCTGAGGGGGGAAGCTGCACTCTTGGCCCTCGGGCTGCCATGGGAGCCGGGTGGGAGATGGCACCGCGGGCTCCCTGTCGTGGCTGGACAGATGGTCGCAGAAGGATCCTCTAAAAGTTTCTCACATGGACCTAGTAGGGTCTTCACTGGGCTCTTGACCTGCCCCACCCAGGTCCTGTGCCTGGCCCCAGGCTTGCAGTGGTGAGTCTAGGCTGGCTGCACCCAACACAGTTCGTTCTCGGATTTCAGAGCAGCTTGCAGTGAGGGCAGCCCCCAGGAGCCTGGCAGCTCTTGAGGGGTGTTCAGAGGTTTGCAGCGCCTATTCAAACTCTTCTGGCTTGAAATGGAACCCAGTGGGAGTACTCACACCACAGCTCTGGGCAGAGGCCACAGTCAGGACCTTTCCCTGGCATTGGCCTGACCAGGGGTGACAGTGCGTTGTATGTCCGAGGCAGACTCTGCCAGCTCTTTCGCCTCGCACTGACATGGCCTAGTGCGCTGGGTCACTAGGCTCCATCTTTCACTGCCCACAGAACAGCCTTTTGTCTTCTGCTGGAAAGGCTGCCTGGTAGAAACCCCCTCAGACTTCCCTTTAGTGAGTGCAAATCACTGTTGACAGCCAGGTGGGTGTCTCTGGTCCCATCCATCCTGTCATGTGGGCCTCCACCGGGGGGCTTCCTAGAAAGCCTGTCACGCACTGCTCAGAAGACAAGCCCAGCTCATCACTTGGCTTCCTAATGTTAGGAGTGTAAACAAGGAGCAGTCCATGAGGGCTTCCTCCACATGCAAGAGGGCAGGCAGCCAGCAGCCACCCAGTAGAGGGAAGCCTGCTTTAGTCTCACACTCTGGGACGTCCGTTCCCTTCAGCTCTGACTTGGGGATCTGGGGAGGATGCAGACGAGCTCAGCACCAGAGGATAAGCAGTGTAGCTGACTGATCCGGTGACCTCCTCGTGACTTGCTATAGAAACCCCCAGGCCACCCTGCTGACTGAGGTGGCATGGATGGGCCGCACTCTGCCATCTCGGACCGCCCAGCTGAAGGCAGGGGATTCATGTAACTCAGCTGACCTCTTCAGATAGCCGTTTTCTCTTGTCCACATAATTCAGGAGAATGTTAATTGATGAGAGTCTTGCACCCCTGCACAGTGAGAACTGGCTCACTTGTCGTGCGTTTGGATCTGTTGGGTGTTTGGCTTCTTTGCTTTGTTTTGGTGGGGTTTTTTGGTAGCGAATCTCCTTGAGTTTGAGAATTGAGTTACGTGCATCTCATCCTTATAGATGATGCCCGAAAGCTCTCTGCTCTCTGAATTAAAGTGTGTGTTTGCTGCTTATTATGTGATTTGGTGGCACTGGGGCTGTCCCCACTTACCCCCTCCCAGAGTGTTAGGCCACATCCTGACAGTGAGCAGTGACCTCAGAAATCAGATTAGAAGGCGCTGTGCCCTCCATGCAGAATTCTCCAGCCGTCAGCTATTCCTAGACTCCCTCGGCACGTGGCCATGCCCCCTACCTGGCAGTAAGAAGAGGGTCCTTGCCAGGCTCCGTGCAGCATGGTTGGTGCTGCCCCAGGGCCCCCCTGCCAGGGAGAGTTGCCCTCTCTGTGCTGATAACTCGGGGCGGGGGTGGGGGGCGTCAGAACCCAAAGTCCCTCGACACAGCCTTGTGGGCTCAGCAGCTTCTCTCTGGGGCCAAAGCCAGCTCCAGGGCTCTGTCCTTGGGGCCATTAGGCTTGATGGGAGGGTATTGGGAAGCACCGGGGCTGTTGCATTTGTCCTCCCTTCTCTTTTCAGACCTGGTTAAGAAGCTACATAAAGCTGTTCCAGGCCCCATGTCAGCGCTGCGGGAAGTTCCTGCAGGATGGCCTGCCCCCCACGTGGAGGGACTTCCGAACACTGGAAGCCTTCCATGACACCTGCCGGCAGTGACCCCACCCACCCAGGCAGCCCTGAGTGACACTGGCCCTGACCCCTTGCTGCCCGCTCTCTGTCAAGCTATGGCTATCACGAAGGACCTTCTCGGAGCACCACTGGGGGAGGTCGCCCAGCCTAGCCTTGGCACACGCTGGCAATACGGGTGAGTCCCCCAGTTTGCTGAAGGTGACTGAACGAGCCCTGTCACACGGGGGACTTTGTTTTGTGCTTGCTAAGTTATTTTTATAAGCAATAAACCTTTTGTACCCAGGCAAGGCCTCGTCTCCTCCTTACAGCGCCTTCCACGCCGCCTCAGTGAACAGGAGCGGGTGTGTGGACGCGGCTCTCTGGGGGTACCTCCGGCTTCTCCCTGCAGGGAGGCCAGCCTGGGTAATGCTCCCTTTCAAAGCCACCTTGGTGGCTTGAAAAATGATGGTTCCCTTTGAGAAAGACAGCAGGAGGAGTCTCTTCCCCTGAAACCAGTCCCACAGGTTCCCAGGGTGGGCGCCACTGTTGGCCTGGCTCTGCCCCAGGCATTACTACAGGTCCATCCAGTTTCTGGACACCAGCTCATGAAGCCATCATCCATTTCTGTGGCAATCTCTGCCCTGGCCAAGGACTTGAGGAGAGGACATTTCCCAGGAAGTGACATCCAGGGGCACTGCCATCTGAGCCGACAAAGAAGGGCCTGGCTCCTCCTAGGTCCTGCCTGTCCCCACCAGGTTGGCAGGCAGAGTCGGGGCTTCAGTGATGGGGACWCCTGGCCCTGGGCAGCCTGCCCCGGACCTCCTAGGCAGAGGCTCCAGGGCCAGGCAGCACCGGGCAGCCTGAGAAGCAGCAGTGACAAGCAGGACACCCGCAGCAGGCAGCCCCCACTGAATGCTGCTGTTCACTAGATTTAAGATGCCAACACCCATTAGATGTGCCATTGTTTTATGAGCCTCCAAGAAAATACGCTGCCAATTAAGCTACTGCCAGGCCTCAGTGGTGACCCTGTGTGGCACATGAGCCATCACACCAGCCTGTGGTTGCTTTGAAATGGCTTTTCTGTGTTCCCAGGGAGGCCATCTCTCCTGCCCGGTACTGGCCAYCCCCTCCCAGTCACAGACCATAGCACAATTTGTCAGCTCCCTGGATCCTCCTTTTATTGGTCTCCTGAGACTCTTTTTTTTTTTTTCTTTAATTTTTTTTAGTTGTAGTTGGACACAATACCTTTATTTAATTTTATTTATTTATTTTTATGGGGTGCTAGGCGGGTGCTCTGCCACTGAGCCCCAGCCCAGCCCTCCAGAGACTCTCCATTGTTGGTTTGCAAGAAAACCCAGAGTGAGGGCATCAGGTGCGCTAGCGCCRTTTCCTGGTACTCATGTCTTCAAAGACCCCAAGTATGCACACGGGCCCAATGCAGCACTGACGCTGGCCACGCACCACCGGCTCCGGCCATGCGCAGGGGAGGCAAGTCCCTGGGGACTGCCAGCCTCAGAGGTGCTGGAACCCAGAAGAACCTGAGGTCAGTGAAGCCGTGGATGCCGACTCGCATCTGAGCCATCAGATGTCCAGCTTCCAACCGCAGCAGTCTGGGCGGTCGGTCCCCCGGGCGCCAAGTGCTCTCGGACTCCCTCTCGTCCCCGTCTTCTGCACAGGCGATGGGCCAGTAAGTAGCCTCAGAGGGCTACTTCATGTGTGCACCCAGGAGCAGGTGCCTTGGCCCTGTCCTCTGTACCTGATTGTCGTCCACAGGAGCACTAGGAAGGGTCCTGGGGCAGGTGTACAGAGGTGCAAAGGGTTGACCATTACAGCAGCATGGAGAGAGACAGGTCCTGTCCTCTCCTCCAGTGGCAGAGCTGGGGTGAGCCGCTTCCTCTGGCCTCCTCTGAGGCACAGGGTTGATGCCCGGTGCTGGGAGGGAGGAGAGGCCTGTAGACGGAGGCTGAGACTTGGTCACAGTGGAGACCCGGGCAACGCCTGCTCTGCTGTTTTGCTATATATTTTTTTTATAAAGAGAGAGAGAATTTTTTAATATTTATTTTTCAGTTTTCGGTGGACACAACATCTTTGTTGGTATGTGGTGCTAAGGATCGAACCCGGGCCGCACGCATGCCAGGCGAGCGTGCTACCGCTTGAGCCACATCCCCAGCCCCTTGCTATATTTTTAACATTCCCTCACTTAAAGGGGGGCTGGGGACACGGGTCAGACCATTTAACCTTTGAGGCCTTTCTGTCTCTTCTATTCCCATTGCTCGGTTCTGAGAGAGAGTCTCCAAGGCAATGTACTCGAGATCCAGGCTGGCCAATCCTGCCCGCTTGTGCTCACAGAGATGGACATGCCTGCTTTGTGTGTCAGCCATGGAAACAGGACAGACTGCACCTGAAAGGGTGTTGGGAACAGTTCCAAGAGGGTGGGCTGTGAGGGAGGCCGGGAGGTTCCTGCCGTGCGGASAGTCACTGAGTTCCTCTCACTGAAGGAACAGGTCCACCATGGGTGCTGTGGTGACGGAGCCAGAACATGATTTGGACTGTCCAAGGGGACCTCTAGGCCAGGTCTACAGGTACTCAAGAGTGACTTAATTATGACCCCAAGCTCAGCATCTACTCTGCCAGGTGCTTCACACGTGTTACCTACCTGCATGTCCTCTCCATCAGAGCGACCAGCCCTGCCGTGCCGGGTGTGAGCCCCAAGTGTGGTCAGGACTCCTCTGCAGCRAGGCTTCCCCGGACAGCACTGCTTCGCCCGTGCTTTCTGCTGTCCGGGGTGCCATGAGTCGCCCAGGCACCCGTCAGAACAGAACACGCTGCCTGTGAAAGGTCGTCCAGACTCTCCCTGAACTAAGTTAGGAATCAGCCTTTTGGTATCGAGTGATGTTTTCACACTTCACACCACAGGCAGCATGAAACGATGATCTTTCAGTGTTTATGCACAAACTCGCCATTGCACTCGGAGTGTCAGAGAGTGGGCCTGATGCTAAATCGAGAGCCTTTTAAGGTCATCCCCATCGAGAGAAGGACAGCTTCAGCCACCAGGATTCTCAGAAGATCCAGAACCCCTGCCCACCATCCAGGAGGCATCGTCCGTCCAGCCATTAGACCAGGGAGAGGCAAGGTGACTGGTGGCTGTGGCCTGGCAGTAAGGGCAGGCCAGCTCCCCGCGCCTGTCCACTCCCAGTGCAGTGGCCTGCTGGGCCGTTCTGCGGGTGGAGCATGGTCAAGGCCACAGGGTGCATGAGGAAGAGAGCCAGAAGGGAGGGGCTGCACAAGCCGTCCTTGTGCCCAGGGACTGACTGGGCTTCAGGCGCTAGAACGGGCGGGCCCTGTCCCAGTCTCCACCAGCCCTCCCTGTGTCCCAAATAGAGGAAAGGATCTCAGAAACTCGCTTTCCAGTTGAATTTTAAGTTGGGAGCGGCTGTTCCCTGTCATTAGTACCTGAAGAGCTCAACCTTAAAGTTCACGAGCACATCCCAGGGAGAGCACCRTCTTAGCAGCTTGGAGATGATTAGTTACTCCAGAAAGCTCCGGCCACTCTGTGCTAATTGAGTTTGAAATTCCAGCCAGACTGGCTGTCCCCAGGGCAGCATGCGCTGGAGTGTGGTGCCCAGGGAGCAGGCAGGCCCCTGCCTGCTTGGTAAAGACCATGGACCATCCCTCAGGAAGGCGAGGACAAGGCGCAGGGAGTGACCTGGCACAGATAGATGGGGTGGAGAGGAGGGGAGGAGGCACCCCAGGCTGGATGGCTTGTCGCCAACACGTCACTCACGTGTCCTTGGCTCTGTCTCAGTCATGGTCGTGCTTCCTTAATTACAAAAGGAATCCATGTGTTCCTTTTATAGAAAATTAGGTACTGTGAAAAAGCAAAGAAAACAATACCTGTGACCCCCACGTGGTAGATGACCGCTGGAGCCCTGGGGCGCATCTTTCCAGGCCTAGGTGTGGCAGAAAAGGAGGTCATGCACGTGCTCTTCTGAAACCTGCCTTGCGCCTGAGCAAAGGCCAAGCTGCTGTGGCACGGCCCACAGCTACGGTGGCTCAGAGGCCACAGACGCTGTCTCCCCTTCACCTCCAGGGTGGGGACAGAGCTCAGCTTGCCTAGCGACACGAGACTCTGGCTTCCGCCCCCCATCCYGGAAGAGAAGAGAAGCGCTCCAAGCAGCGCGGACAGTTCCACTCCGTGTCACTCAGGGTTCCTGGGCTCTCTCTTAGGACGTGGTCTGCATGGTGGCAGTTGTCGCTGTTTTAGTCAGCCTTTTCACTGCTGTGACCAAAAGACCCCACAAGAAGAGGATAAGTTTCCCTGGCACTCAGGGTTTCGGAGGCCTCAGTCCTTAGAAGGTCGGCTCCGCGGCTCTGGCTGAGATGAGGCCACACAAGGCGGAAGGTGGTGGTGGCGGCAGGCAGCCGACCAAGAGCCGAGAGAACGCCATTCACCAGGGGCAAAATACGAGCCCCAAAGGCACATCTCCAGTGACACTGTCCTCCAGCCATACCCTACCTGCCGACAGTTACCATCCAGTTGGTCCATACTAATGGATCGTCTCCCATTAGGCTCCCATAACCCAATCATGTCACCTCTAGCCCTTCTTGATCGTCTCCCACGAGTCTCTGAGGAACACCTCATGTCTGACCCAAACTGACACATTTCCAGTTTGCAGAAAGGGAAAGGCACACGGGGATCATATGCCAGCATTTTGAGTGTCAGACCCCGTCCGGGCAGGCAACAGTTCCTCTGCGTTTCGTTAACAAAAGCCCAGGGCCTGGCAGCAAGGGCTGCTGGGAAGCGCCTACCAACTGAGAGCGGCTGTTAGCTGACAGCGCCATTTCCTTGAGGATCACCCAAGTGGTGCCTTGTGTCGCCAGTCTTTTTCATTGCCAAGTAATACTCCGCAGTGCGTATGTACCACGCTCTTTAACTGCTTAACCCTTTGGGGGATATCTGGGTGGTCCTAAATTGGGGCCATTCCAAAGAAGCTGCTGAGCCTTGTGTACTAGCCTCTGCATGAACATAAGCTTTCCTTTCTGTGGGATGTGTGCCCATGCATATAATTGTTGGGTCATGAGGTAAGTTCATTTTTAATTTCAAAAGGAACAGCCAGGGGCTGGGGTGTGGCTCAGTGGTGGTGGTGGTGGTGGTGGTGGTGGTGGTGGTGTGCTCCTCTGGCACAGGAGGCCCTGGGTTCCATCCCCAGCACAGGGAGAAACACATAAAAGAAGCTCCCAGGTGGCTGTGCTAGTTGACCTTGCCCCTGCTGTCAGTGAGGCCCTGTCTTTCCACGCCTTCGC